AACAGAGAAATGTATGTAAATGGAAACCAGTGTGGGGACAGAGAAAAGAGATGGTCAAGCAACAGGTACAAGAGGCAGGATTTTGTTTTGTTTTTAAATAACTAAAATATACCTGCAATTATCCTGCCCTAGAATTACAAATTAGTGTTCAACTTCAGGAGGAGCAAGCCATAGAGGTGCCCAGGGGACACAGTGGAAGTATTTCAGTGATTGATGAAGCCACTTATGTTGCTGTAGAATGCAATTCTAGATTCAGAAACTTTCTGATTTGGGAAAGAAAAAAATAATTTATGCTTTCTTTCATACAACCTCAGTAGTCTGGGACATGACCTCAGATGTTGACAGGGTTAAGGACATGCATGGCTCAGGTGGCCAAATTCTTGCGTTGCAAGTGTAAGGACCTGAGTTTGGTCCCCAAATCCACAAAAGGATGCTGGATGCTGGATGCTGGATGCTGGATGCTGGGTGCTGGATGCTGGATGCTGGATGCTGGATGCTGGATGCTGGATGCTGGATGCTGGATGCTGGATGCTGGATGCTGGATGCTGGATGCTGGATGCTGGATGCTGGATGCTGGATGCTGGATGCTGGATGCTGGATGCTGGATGCTGGATGCTGGATGCCGGATGCTGGGTGTGGCAGCACTCGCCTGTAACCCCAGTGCTAGAGAGGCAGATGGGAGGATACCTATGGCTCGATGGCCAGCTGGCCTAATCTAATCACTGCGGCCAATAAGAGAGTCTATCTTAGAGGAAGTGGATGGCTTTCCTGAGGATTAAAACCTAAGGTTATTCAATGGCCTCCAAATCCCAGCCCACACAACACACATATATAGCTTTTTTTTTTTTTTTTTAAGGAGGGGATGGGAAGATGGCTATCACTAAAGTGCTTGCTGTACAAACATAAGGACCTGAAATCAGATGCCCAGACCCAAGGAAAAGCCATGCACTTTAGCACACAGCTTGACTTCAGCACCAGGGAGACAGAAGAATCTTTGATGGGCAACACCAGTAAGAGATCCTGAAAAGCTTCTGTAAGGCAAAGGACACAGTCAGTAAGACAAAACGACTGCCCACAGAATGGGAAAAGATCTTCACCAACCCCACATCACAGAGGGCTGATTTGCAAAATATACAAGGAGCTCAAGAAGCTAGCCACCAAAACACCAAACAATGAAATTAAAAAGTGGGGTGCAGAACTAAACAGAATTTTCAACAGAGGAATCTGAAATGGCCGAAAGACACTTAAGAAAGTGCTCAAAATCCTTGGCCATCAGAGAAATGCAACTCAAAACAACTCTGAGATACCACCTCACACCTGTCAGAATGGCTAAAATAAAAAATACCAATGACAACCTATGCTGGAGAGGATGTGAAGAAGAAGGAACACTCCTCCATTGCTGGTGGGAGTGTGAACTTGTAAGACCACTCTGGAAATCAGTATGGCAGTTGCTCAGAAAAATGGGAATAAATCTACC